TATATATATATATATATATATATATATATATATATATATTGTTATGATGCGTAACCATGACAACAAGGGTTTTTTGTTGTTGTTGCTTTTGTTTTTACAACAGGGAGCAGCTGTTTAACACGTTAAAAGCTTAAATAACATCTCAGCTATAGCTCCAAATCTGTAATGGGTTGAAAAGGAGGCGCCATAGATGCATTCCCGTCTCCTTGCCGACTGTGCTCGAGTGCCTGACCACTGAGATCCTGGAACTAGCAGGAAACGCGGTTCGTGACAGCAGAAGGACCAGGATCGTCCCCCGGCACCTACAGTTGGCTGTCCGCAGCGACGAGGAGCTTGGCAGGCTGCTGGGAGGAGTGGCCGTCGCCCTGGGAGGAGTTCTGCCTGGTATTCGGGCAGTCCTGCAGCCATGAGGAACCAAGAGGCCAGCCAAGTCTGGGTGAACGGATCGGACAGCATCTGTGGATGGTTTCTTCAAATCCGTTGTGGAACGGAGTTTTACAAGAGATCCTTCCTGCCTACAGACATCAATATCTATAACATATCTTAATGAAATGAGGATAACGAGTTACAACATTTAATTTCCCTCTGGGATTAATAAAGTATTTTTTGAATAGGATTGAATATGCTGGGAGTTATTTAGACTGCATAAGAAAAGTCATATTGCTTAGCTCATATATCCTCATCACTTGGAACAGAAAAAAAAATTAAGGTCAAAAGAAACTAGAAAAAAAAAAAAAAGGGGGGGCTTCATTTTTATGCTTATGGTAGAATTAAGCACTCACTAAGTAAATGGCTTTTGTTAAAGATAATGAGCCATGAATTAAAAGCACTTAGAGTAAAAAAATCCATGCAAGGGCAAAGCATCCACAATTTAAAGTACCATTATGACCATTAGCTTAATAATGTGAATAAATTATCCCCATTGAGTTGAGCTCAATCACACAGTTTACTTCAACAACACACACTGTAAACAACATAAACAGTGCCAGTAAATACACAGTCAAACAGGCAGGTGAGTAGTTCACGTGAGTTATTGTTAACGGGTTAAAATAAAAGACATGAAATATTAGTTCTTTAATTCCAGTGTTCAATACAGGATAATTTAAAGTTATTTTGTTTTCTTTATCCCTGTGGTTTTATTATAATTGTGTGTACTTTTGTGGAAATGTGTGTGTTAGTGGGCTGGGCTGAAACACGGCATCCTGATTACAGGTGAAACAACACAACACCTTGTTGAGCTTTGAGAAGTCGAGGAGGTCGGGTCTGTGTCTGTGGATCAGGGCGCAGAAGGCCAGGCCATCCTTCCAGCTTCAGCAGCCAGTGAGCAGAGAGAACCAACACATCAGTTCAAAGAGGTGGGAATGCTGGAGCCCACTTTCACCAGTAAACCACCAACGATGCAACACCATTTTCCAGCAGCGTTTATCCAATTATGTCTTGATATTTGAGCTGTTTGAAACCAACTTCATACTGAACTTAGCACTAAAATAAAGCTGTAACATGAACTTACAGGACAAACACTATGGTAATGAACAACTAAAGACACCTGTTAGGTGTTATTTTCATCTTTAAATCACTTCTTGGTCTGCTGCCTTCATACATCTCCTCCTACAGGTCTCTGTGTGAGTGCAGCTACAGCGTGCGTTCTCAGGACATTATTACCTGCAGTGTTCCCTCAGTGAGAACTGAACTAGGCAAGAGGGCCTTCTCCTACTCCGCTCCTGTTTCCTGGAATATCTTACAAAAAGATTTGAAGCTCTCGACCTTGACCTCTCTAAGTGGCTTCAAGAATCTGTTGGACTCCAGGCAGGGACCAATGCAGACATGTTCCTGTTTTTAGTTTTCTACATTCACCTTAGAATCTAGCTGTTTTTTGTTATTTTTCTTTTTTAGCCATCCAATTTGTTAAAAAAAAAAAATCTGTGTGCCTTTTTATAACCGTCTATTGTTGTCGCTGTTGTCCATTGTTGTCATCATTCTTTGTTGAAATCAGGTCTCTCTTGTAAATGAGTCCTCGAGGCTCAATGGGATTTACCCGTCTAAATAAAGGTTGAATGAACGAAAGTTAGAGTTTAAGAACTAAAACTCACCTGATATGGAAGTTTTGTACATTAACGTTCCTGTAGGGGGCGGTCTTTCGCTGGCACCACAGAAGAAGACCTTCCTTAGCAGATGTTTCTGATGAGACAAGTTTAAATACGAAGTTTTTACTTTGCGCATAATAATAAAGCAACTTAACAAAAAAAAAATGTGTTCAATTATAAAGATAATTTATTGTAAAAAGCCTAAATTTAATGTGTGTTTACACAAGATTAACCACTGAACCAATAAGGCACCTTAGGATACCAGTACTTGTCAGCGATCAACAGGATCAAAAGAAAATATTCATACAATAACTAATCCATACATCCATCCATACATCCATCCATCCCCCCCATCCATCCACCCCTCCATCCCTCCATCCATCCATACATACATACATCCATACATATTAACATACATACATACATATTAACATACATACGTCCATCCATCCATCCATCCCTCCATTCATACATACATTCATTCATACATACATCCATACATACATACATCCCTCCATCCATCCACCCCTCCATCCCTCCATACATACATACATCCATACATATTAACATACATACATTCATACATACATACATCCACACATACATACATACATCCCCCCATCCATCCACCCCTCCATCCCTCCATCCATCCATACATCCATACATACATACATCCATACATATTAACATACATACATACATACATACATACATACATGGGGTCATGAAGGACCCCACCCACCCAGCACACACACTTTTTGCCCCACTCCCCTCAGGAAGGAGGTTAAGGAGCATTAAGTGTAGAACCACTAGACTGAGGAACAGCTTCTACCCTGAGGTTGTTAGACTCATGAATCTCTAACTAGAATAATCACTGTGAAAAACCATATCATGTTGCTGCTGATCTGTTTCATGTTGCTGCTGATCTGTTTCATGTTGATGTGTTCATGCGTGCACATCTGCTCACAGACTCATGTTCATGTTTGTGCTGATGTTCAATGTTTTATGTTATGAGTGCTTAGTGTATATTTAGTTGATGTTTTTCTTAGTTCATATCTTAGATGTTATTACTGTTTTTCTTATACATTTTATTGTTGGATGTAACTGGGACCCAGTGTACATAATTTCGCTCCACCACATGTACCACATGAGGTGCGAATGACAATAAAGAAACTCTGACTCTGACATACATTCATACATACATACATCCACACATGCATACATCCATACATCCATCCATCCATACATACATATGTACATCCATCCCTCCATCCATACGTACATCCATCCATCCCTCCATACATACATCCATCCATACATCTGTACATCCATCCCCTCATCCCATCCATCCATCCATCCATCCATCCATCTACACATCCATCCATCCATCCATCCATCCACACATCCATCCATACATTCATCTACACATCCATCCATTCATCCACACATCCATCCATCCATCCATCTACACATCCATCCATACATTCATCCACACATCCTATTTTAGCCACGTCTTCTTTTTGTAGTAAATATACACATTTAGAAGCACATAATTAAGCTGAAATGTATTTGTTTAAAGATTTCTCAACTCTTATTTAAAAAATAATGTGAAAAACTCCAAACATCCATCCATCCATCCATTATCTTTACCCATCCATCCATCCATCCATCCATTATCTTTACCCGTTTATTCCATTTTGGGTCACGGGGGTCGCTGGTGCCCATGTCCAGCAATCACTGTGCGAGGGGCGGGGTACACCCTGGACGGGTCGCAAGTCCATCACAGGGCCACATAGAGACAAACGAGACAAACAACCATTCACTCTCTCACTCACACCTAGGGACAATTTAGAGTTACCAATCAGCCTAACATGCATGTTTTTGGTCTGTGGGAGGAAACCGGAGCACCCGGAGAAAACCAAAACTCCAAACATAATTACCATAAATTAAAAAAATGTATTTTTGTTTGAGGTGATTATGTCACAGCTTTGTGTTCCTGAGCTACAACTGGTGGTGTGTCTCCAATCAGAGTGTACAGTGAACACGATATTGCTCAAAAGACTGGAGAGTGTTTTAGAGCCACAGCTGGACATCTTTGGATACATTTTGATTATCATAAATCAATAAAAACAATAACAATGTGGATAATTTGAAGACTAGTGAACGTAGGGCATTATAATTAGCTGTGTCAGTAGTTAATCGTTAGATTTAAGTGTCCATATGTTCTAACATTACAATCTTCTGAAGCAGTGATTACAAAAATCTAAGCAAATTTATTCGTACTGGACTGAACAACTCACCTTCCACAGATATGTCCTGAATGGCAAAGCGGAGGATGATAGTCCAAATCATTCCAAGGGTCATCTTTACATTCCCGTCCACAATCTCTGAAATAAAAAACTCTTTTATTCACAGAAGTTCAGCATCTTGTGATTCTCTTAGACTCGTATGCAGGAGGGGGTCAGATACCTTCAGCTCCAATAGAGACCAGTTTCACTCCTTTACTTGTGATGAATTCCAGCGCTTTGTTGACGTTAGCAATCTTATGAAACCGCATCTTTCCTCTGTCAGGTTTAGGTAACCTCTCTCCTATAAACACAACATGGGCGCAGAAGTTGGGCAGTTCATGTCACAAACAAAAAGTAAAAACACTGAGATGTGAAAATCACTGTTAGAAAAAAAAAAAAGGGTCCTTGTTTGGATCTCAAACCTGAAATGACTTCCAGGAGCAGCATGAGCTTTAATCCGTTCCTGAAGTCTTCCTCAATGTTCTCGATTTGAGTGCCAGCTTTCCTCAGGTGAGAGTTACACCAAGCTGTGAACGTCTAAAAACAAAAGGATGCTCACATCAGCTTCAGTTGGACTCGATCAAATACAGGAGAACAACAACAAAACATAAGAGTTTGTACTATCCAAGGTATTCATTATGGATTCAAATCTAATAATTTGTGCCATCTCATTCATTACTTTGGTTTTATTTAGGACGCCCATGACCCAAAAAGGAAGAAGCGGGTCAAGATAATGGATGGACGGATTTATTTAGGAAAATCTTTGTAATCACCTAACAGTGTAAATTGTACTTTTATTCACCTGAAAACAAAAATAAAAAGGAAGTACAGTATAACAAAACCTTTCTAGTTGATGTACAGTATGGTGGTAAAACTACTCAGACACATGCGGTACATTCATTCAAACTTTATTTATACAGGTTAGTCTCATTGAGTCATGAGGACTCATTTTCAAGAAAGACCCGTTTTGAACAAAGAACACAAATGAGGTACAGACAACAATAAATATTCATATAAAAGTGTATAAAATGAAAAGTAAATAAAAGAAGTGGTATAAAACAAAATAATAAAAAAAACAGCTGCATTAAAAAGCGATATAAGATACTAAAAACAGGAACATGTCTGCATTGGTTTTTGCCATGAATTAACAGTTGTTTAAAAACCCTTAAAGAAATCAAGGTCGAGAGCTTCAGATCTTTTTGCAAGATATTCCAGGAAACAGGAGCAGAGGAGGAGAAGGCCCTTTTGCCAAGTTCAGTTCTCACTGAGGGAACACTGCAGGTAATAATGTCCTGAGAGTGCACTCATCCAGTGACATGTAGGAGGAGATGTATGAAGGCAACAGACCAGGGAGTGATTTAAAAATGAAAATGTACCAGTGGAAGAGCCTGTGTGAAGTTAATGATGACCAGTTAACCAGTGAATACAGGGTACTGTACAACCAGTTATGAATCTTAGCGCACCATGATAGACAGCATCCAACATCTGCAGGGTGCTTGAAGTGGCGTTCATGTAAATAATATCACCGTAATGGAGGGAAGGAAAGTCACAGTTACAAGTTGTTTCCTAGCATTCAGAGTTAAACAGGATTTATTTCTGAAAAAGAAACACAATTTTACTTTCAGTTTCTTTACCGTTTTCAACATGGGGCTTAAAAAAGAGATATGCATCAACCAAGATTCCCAAGTATTTGTGAGAAACGACAAACTCAATAGGAACACCATTCATCATCATGACATCATCATGACTAGTACGTTATGTAAAAGTAAAACAATATATTTCTTGATACGTTTTAACTTAACTTTCAGGTTTTAATGTGGTCTCTTGCTGTAAAGATGGTGTTTATTTAAATTAGAAAGTCTGTTGGTTATTTGTAACCTGATCTCTTAGAGATGTGCTAATGTTTAGAAGAACCTTTTTGTGTGCATCTTTTCCTGCCTTACTGATAAAACATGGGCTATTACAGTTTGTTTACTGGAATGGGAATTTCATAAAACACAATCCATCCATTTTCTTTTACCTGCTTCTTCCTTTTTGGGTCGCGGTGGTTGCTGGTGCCTATATCCAGCAATCACTGTGTGAGAGGCGGAGTACACCCTGGACAGGTCACAAGTCCATCACAGGGACACGTAGAGACAAATGAGACAACCATTCACTCTATCACTCACATCTAGGGACAATTTAGTTAACAATTACCCTAACATGCATGTTTTTGGTCTGTGGGAGGAAACCCACGCATGCACGAAGAGAACATACAAACTCCACCCAGAAAGGTCCTGGACTGGGATTTCAACTGGCGATCTTGTCGCTGTGAGGCAACAGCTCTACGGACTGTGCTACCGTGCCACTCAAAATGACTTGAAAGTCATTTTATAAATACTGTATTGTTTTTCTTGTTTGTGGTTCTAAAAGATTTCACTAAACTGATAGTTTGGAGTTATTTAAAGATAAAGACTTTACATAATGAGTTGCATATTTTGAAAAAGAGCTCTAGACCTTAAGTCATGTTTTTTCCCCACATTGGTGTGTATATCTTTGTCAGTAACACTTTCCCCTAAATATTTAGAATATAATTTGTGCTATAGGAACCATAAATCGACAAACTGTGTGAACTTAACAAGTCATCTAAACAAGAATATACGCCTAACAAATGCTAACCTCTGACCAGGTTATTCTTCAGTGCTACACAAGTATCCACTTTCAACTTTTCCTACAATAGCCCCGCAGCTAACACTGATCAGAACAAATGTTCTCTATGTGGAGTCATGAATACAGTAAATCAAGTTAAGACGGGATCATTATCTTTCTCCTATTTTTACAAAGTCTTTCAATAGCCAGCAGCAGAGCGCAGAGACGCTCCGTACCGTACGGACGAAAGCCTGGAACGGAGCAGAGCGCATTCCAGCTGATATAAAGCGTTAAATTTAGACCGCTCTGTTGTGGCTCACGATAAGAGATGGAAAGGAAAAAAAAAAACATCCAAATGTCCCAACATGTCAACATGAGGGAAAATATCACATGGGTGGCAGCATGAATTTTCCTCCTGCGTCACTTTCTGTCACTATTTTGCCACTTAGAACGATACGTGTCGACGCTCTACAGAGCGCGCTCCATCGCAGAATGCTGCTCATCCAGGTCACGTTTATCATTTATCTTCATGCTGCCGCATCAAGACAGGGCGTAAAGAACACAAGATATGAGATGTTATGTAAAATCGTATGAAGGACATGCCAATTGATGAATAACTCATCAGCTGTGGTGTTAAACATGTTAACGTCTTACAATTAAAAACACCAAAACGCTCCAATTTGTCTATAGAGTCAGAGTTTCTTTATTGTCATTCGCACCACATGTGGTACATGTGGTAGAACGAAATTATGTACACAGGGTCCCAGTTACATCCAACAATAAAATGCAAAAGATAATCAGTAATAAGATCGAAGATATGAATTAAGAGAAACCTCAACTAAAAACACCCTAAGCACTAATAGCATAAAAACAATACGCCCAACAGCAGCACGAACATGAGTCTATGTGAGCAGATGAGCACGAATGAACACATTGACATGAAATAGATCAGCAGCAACATGATGTGATTTTTCACAGTGATTATCATGGTTAGAGATTCATGAGTCTAACAGCCTCAGGGTAGAAGCTGTTCCTCAGTCTAGTGGTTCTACACTTAATGCTCCTTAACCTCCTTCCTGAGGGGAGCGTGGCAAAAAGTGTGTGTGCTGGGTGAGTGGGGTCCTTCATGATGCAGGTGGCCTTCTTCCTGCATCTGGAGGTGTAGATATAAATAGTCTGTGTTTATTTATGCTAAAATCAATGATGCTACACCGTATGTAACATACAGCTTTGTATCTCTAATATTCTAAAAATAATAATAATAATAATTACCGTGTTTTTCAAACTATAAGGCACACTTAAAATCCTTTAATTTTCTCAAAAATCGACAGTGTGACTTATAATCAGGTGTGCCTTATGTATTAATTCTGGTTGTGCTTACTGACCTCGAACTGATTGTATGTGGTTATTGTGAATGAGTTGAATAAAATTTCACTTATCTGACTGTTTTGTTTCACTTAATACACCTTATAATCCGGTGTGCCTTATAGTCCAAAAATACATAAGTCTATTATCTAAAATCTTGCATAATCTGATGAAAGTGTGCTGCTTATTGTTTATACCTGAGTTAGTACCAGAAAACACTCATGCAGGACTTTGATAGTTTTCAACTTTTTATGAATTATTTTGTAACAAATCAGTACTCCTTGTAAAGAAAATATGTTTTTTTAAAGAGCATTTGAAGTTAAGTTTTATATTGTTGTCCGTTTTACAAACCGGATTGCAAAAAAGTTGGGACACTAAACAAATTGTGAATAAAAACTGAATGCAATGATGTGGAGAGTAAATGTAACATTTTAAAGGAAAAATATGTTGATTCAAAATTTCACAGTGTCAACAAATCCCAAAAAAGTTGGGACAAGTAGCAATAAGTGGCTGGAAAAAGGAAATTGAGCATACAACGAACAGCTGGAAGACCAATTAACATTAATTAGGTCAATTGACAACATGATTGGGTATAAAAAGAGCTTCTCAGAGTGTCAATGTCTCTCAGAAGCCAAGATGGTAAGAGGATCACCAATTCCGCCATTGTTGTACAGAAAGATAGTGCAGCAATACAAGAATGGTGTTACCCAGCGTAAAATAGCAAAGACTTTTAAGTTATCATCATCAACCGTGCATAACATCATCAAAAGATTCAGAGAATCTGGAACAATCGCTGTGCGTAAGGTCAAGGCCGTAAAACTACTGGATGCTCGTGATCTCCGGGCCCTTAAACGTCACTGCACCTCAAACAGGAATGCCACTGTCAAGGAAATAACAGAATGGGCTCAGGAATACTTCCAGAAAGCATTGTCAGTGAACACAATCCACCGTACCATCCGCCGTTGCCAGCTGAAACTCTACAGTGCAAAGAGGAAGCCATTTCTAAGCAAGCTCCACAAGCTCAGACGTTTGCACTGGGCCAGGGGTCATTTAAAATGGAGTGTGGCAAAATGGAAGACTGCTCTGTGGTCAGATGAGTCATGATTTGAAGTTCTTTATGGAACACTGGGATGCCATGTCATCCGGACCAGAGAGGCCAAGGATAGCCCAAGTTGTTATCAACGCTCCGTTCAGAAGCCTGCATCACTGATGGTATGGGGTTGCATGAGCGCTTGTGGCATGGGCAGCTTGCATGTCTGGAAAGGCACCATTAATGCAGAGAACTATGTTCAGGTTCTAGAACAACATATGCTCCCATCTAGACGTCATCTCTTTCAGGGAAGACCCTGGATTTTTCAACACGATAATGCCAGACCACATTCTGCAGCAATCACAACATCATGGCTACGTAGGAGAAGGATCCGGGTACTGAAATGACCAGCCTGCAGTCCAGATCTTTCACCTATAGAGAACATTTGGCGCGTCATAAAGAGGAAGGTGCAACAAAGAAGGTCCAAGACGATTGAACAGTTAGAGGCCTGTATTAGACATGAATGGGAGAGCATTCCTATTTCTAAACTTGAGAAACTGGTCTCCTCTGTCCCCAGACGTCTGTTGAGTGTTGTAAGAAGAAGGGGGGATGCCACACAGTGGTAAAAATGGACTTGTCCCAACTTTTTTGGTATTTGTTGACGCCATGAAATTTGGAAACAACAGATTTTTCCCTTAAAATCATGCCTTCTCTCAGTTTAAACTTTTGATCTGTGATTTGTGTTCTATTCTGTATAAAATATTAGATGTTGACACCTCCACATCATTGCATTCAGTTTTTATTCACAATTTGTTTAGTGTCCCAACTTTTTTGGAATCCGGTTTGTATTTTCAACTAACTTTTTTGTAATTAGATAGTTGTTTTTAATGACAAATAAAACTTCAATCCTTAAATGAGAGGGATGTTTTGAACATTAATGGATCCTGAACATCATACACACAAAACAAAATAAATAAAACTTGAAGAGGCAATAAATACAAATAATTTCAGCACTTCCTGCAACCTTGGTTTTTAAGTGCCCCCGGTCCCAGTAGGACTGGAGTTTGGGTGCCCAGTCAGTCACTCAA